CTTCTCCCCTCTATCTATTTCTCTCTTGAGGTTGCTCTTGCATTCCCTCTGCGGAAGAGGTGTTGTAGTGACTACTTTTGTCAAGACAGTTAGGACCATATTCTACTCCTCTGCTACTGTACCAGGCCTTACAAGACTACAGTAACTCCATTCCTTGTTCCTTCTGGTGCTCTCACCAGGGAAGAGGGTGCTATCACAACACCTCCCCCAACTCCAGTATATACACCCTGCTTTAGTTCATTTGTGCTGCTATAACAAATATCTGAGACTGGGTAATTTACAAATAATAGAAATTTATTATCTTACAGTTCTGAAGGCTGGGAAGTCCAAGATCAAGACACTGGCAGATTTTGTGTCTGGTGAGGGACATCTTGCCACATCCTCACATGGCCAAAGAATGAAAGAACAAAGAAAAGGGGACTAATGCTATGTCCTCATATGACGAAGAGGAGAAGGGCAAAAAGAGCCAAAGCTGGATGCCTTCAGCGCTTTTGTGAGGCATTAATCTATTCATGAAAGTGGAACCGTCACAACATATCAACTCCCCCAAACGCCCCACCTCTTATTACCACCACAATGGGTATTAGCTTTCAACATAAACTTTGGAGGGAATACATTTAAACTGTAGCACACCCCAAACTTTGACATCACCACTTGAAGTGTTAATACCAGAAAGCAAAGCATAATCCTATCTTGAAGTGGTAGATTTTCTCTCGGATGGTGCTCAAAACTGATCTTCCCTCACTCATTCATTTATTCATCAAATATATGTTGAGGATACAACAAATCATTTGATGTGTTATAGGAATCATTTTTATAAAAGATAGGGAACTTCATTTATCCCTGCCATTCAGAAACTTGCAATCTGGCTGAGGAGACCCATAAATCCTGACCGGGATGTTGTAGAGCAGACTACCGGTAAATGATGAACTGAGAGGAACACACTGTGGTGCCACAGGAGACCAAGAGAAGGCTGAAGGCTCTGCAAACTGGTGGGCAAAAGCAAGGCTTTGTGCAAGAGGTAGAAATAGAAAGTTAGCTCATGGGAAGTCAGGCAGTTATTAAATCGAACAAAGGAGAAGGGAAGCTGGTTCTGGGAACTCAGAGGAGCACAAGCTGAGCACAAAGGGAGGGAATTCCCCCAGGAAAAAAACAAAATACAGTTTGGTGAGAAAATACAGACATGTTTTTGAGGAACGTTGCATATAGGGAATACATACAAAAGAAATCATCCTTGAAGTATACACAGTCTAATGAGGCTATTGGGTGGTGTTGCATGAATAGGGACACCCAAGGTAAACTGGGGCATGGAGAAGTACCTGCACCTGTATCTCCAGTTTTCTTGGTAAGATCCAACAGCTGTTTGATTCTGAAATTAAAGCTGTCTTTTTTTTTTACCAATGTCATCAAGTAATCTAAGTATTTGTACAAATTGCAATAACCGTGAAACCCCGTCTCTACTAAAAAAAAATACAAAAAACTAGCCGGGCGAGGTGACGGGCGCCTGTAGTCCCAGCTACTCCGGAGGCTGAGGCAGGAGAATGGCGTGAACCCGGGAGGCGGAGCTTGCAGTGAGCCGAGATCCCGCCACTGCACTCCAGCCCGGGCGGCAGAGCGAGACTCCGTCTCAAAAAAAAAAAAAAAAAAAAAAAAAAAATTGCAATAACCTACCAACCTGACTGTCTGCCCATCAGCTGCCTCTCTAGTCTGTGTGAAAGTTTTTGCTACTCCCCTCTCCTCTCCTCTCCTCTCCTCTCTTCTCCTCTCCTCTCTTCTTGTCTTCCTTTTCTTCTCCTCCTCTTCCTCCTTCCTCCTCTTTTTTCTTTTAGGCTCTGATAGTTTTCTTTCACTCTTAGTCCATCAACTTTAACAAGAAACAAAATGGAACTGTAATGTATATCATAAATTATGTATCTGAGTCTGTCTATCATCATGTTGCAGGTTCTCTTATATTTCAAATAATTGCAAGCAATTTGTTCCTCTGTCAGCCCTTTTTTGAGGGTTCAGTGCTGTGAAAGGGAGGGGTGGAACCTGGAGACAAGGACATATATAACCTTAGTGATTTTTGTAATGAGCTTCCATCAACCTTTTAACACATATATACATACACTCTCTCTCTCTCACACACACACACCCCCACACACACTATTTATTTATTAATTTATTTACTTATTTATTTTGAGATAAGAGTCTCGCTGTGTCGCCAGGCTTGAGTGCAGCTGCACAATCTTGGCTCACTGCAACTTCTGCCTCCCAGGTTCAAGAGATTCTCCTGCCTTAGCATCCCAAGTAGCTGGGACAACAGGCACACACCACCCAGCTAATTTTTGTATTTTTTGTAGAGACAGGGTTTCACCATTTTGGCCAGGATGGTCTCGATCTCTTGACCTCGTGATCTGCCACCTCAGCCTCCCAAAGTGCTGAGATTACAGGCACTAGCCACCTTGCCCAGCCCCACGTACTATTAATATATATTCATTATTAATTCCATAAAACCTTATCAGGGACTTAACATATGCCAGGCACTATTCTAGGAAGTGGGAATGCAGCAGTGAACAAAAAAAAAAGAAAGAAAATTTTTTAAAAAATTCATGGAACTTTATTCTAGAAAGGGAGGGAAACTAGAATCAAACAGGTTAATATCATTTGTCATGTGGCAGAACAATAAAGCAGGAGAAGGGGTAAGGATGGTCGCCATCACACACACATGATCACTACCCTGCTGTAGTCTCTGTTCAGATAATAATTTTGTGTCTTTAATAATATGGAGATTTTCAAAGATAAGACTGGAATGGAGAAAACCTAAGTGTCTTATACTCAAACTTTTCCTTTCCATTAACGGTAAAACTGTAGACCACAATCACAAATAAGTATGTCAGTATTTCAGTTGTATTTAGAGTTGTATTTAAGTTGTATTTAGTAATACATATATATATACACACACATATAATGCAATATATGTTTCTAGTTTTTATATATTATATGTAATGTATGTGTTTATATATTATAGGTAATATATGTAGAAAGTAAATTTATTATGTAATACACCATTTAATTATTATATATCATATATTATCTATAAACATTTCATATCTCTCTATATATATTTAAAATACATATATATATTTACTCTCTAGTGGAATTTAAAGTGTTCGAAAGTCTTACTTTTGGTGCTCTGAGAGTCTGACAGTGAACCCCAACTCACCTGACATTTTTCCCCCGGGGAACATGGATGCTGGGTGCAAGTGAAACGCCAACTGACCTCTGACACCCCAGAGTTCCCAAGTCCAGTATACACTCTGGTCCTGACTCCCAACCACTCCCCAATCCTAGACCTCAAATACCAAGAAGTTCCAAAATTGATTCTTGGCCCTTTCACTCCTTCTCGTTTCCAATATGATTCACAAAGCCTGTGAAAATAGACCTGTACCTAATTATCTCCCATAGTTGTGTAAAGTTCATTTATTTGAGTAAACATTCTATGGATTTCCTCTCATTAGGGCAAAATCACTGTTAGACATTTCACAGGCATGTGTGATTGAACACAAGGAGAAAGTGGGTGACAGGTGGCTAAACTCAGCAGGATACTGGCAACATTTCTAGGAGAAAATATCTACTCTTAATATTGAAGAAGTGACATAGATTAATTAATTAATTAAAGTACTTTTTTAATGCTAGTGAATGAAATATAACTTTAAGAAATTTTAACAAAGCATTCTACAGAAATTTACAAAGTCTAAGAAGAATTGTATCACTAGTTAGGAGATTAATTCTGTAAATTTTACAAATTCATTGTTTATACTTACTATTTCTTTTGCTTGGAATGCGCTTCCCTTTGACTGGCGAAACTCTTATCATTTGCAGTTCATTTCATGACCTACCTCTGCTTCTCTGATAGCATGGCTATACAAAATTTAATGCACATCTGTGCTCCTATAAAACACTAAGCTTTCCTCTGTTACTGATTTTTCGATCAGAAGCATAACAACTCAAATCTGATTTTCTCTTTATTTCCATTCTTTGTGGTTGGTGGATAATTTGTCCTGAAACCTGTGCAGTTTCTTACTTCTATAATTTAAAAAGAGGCTCATTAGGGGTCACCAATGCTTCCAGGCAGATTTGGAAGTTTTAGGGACAGAAACTATGATCAATATCTTTAGACTGAGATAGGTTGAGATATAATTTGATGATCATTAGATTGAGATTTCACATTGACTACCGAATTACTGAATCCAGAGTGGATTAACTAGTTAATTGATTTATGCTTATATATAATCAGTTAATCGGTAGTCATTGAATAGCTACCTGTCACGCATTGTACAAAGCAGAATAAAAAGTTAGAATAATAGTTACCATTATTATTATAGGAATACATAATAATTTTAAAAATATCTAAATATATGATATAGGAGTGTAGAATTGCCTGCCATTGAAGAATTTGATAATTTTGATCAGAATATGGAAAATCTGAGATCCACTAAACAGAAATGAAATATTTACAATGAAAAGATTAAAAATGTGTTTTAGTGGGTTGTTCAAGATGAAAGAGAAGACTGTTCTTCCAGGCTTCCAACAGTTTTATCAGCAGGATTTTTACTAAGAACCTTTTTACCCAGAATGAGAATAAATAATTTTCGAAGTCTCAGAGTCAGAGTCAATCAAGACCTTTGGCTCCAGAGTGAATACCATTATGCTATTCTGCCTCTTCTATGTTCTGGAGGTTTTAGAAAGCCAATATGAAGCTTGCTTGGACAGTACTGGCATGGAGCAGAAGGGTTTAGGAGGGGGTAAGCTAAAAGTTCACAAAAGCCTCTCTCCTACCTACTCTCCTCCCTTCCTCACCCCTCTCCAGGACTAAGGATAAAGAAAATGAGAGCATCAGGGTTATTTGTCCAATAGATGCAAGTCTGAAGTTGGTCTAAAGTCAGGATATCAATTAAAAGAGAAAAACACATGCGTACACAGGAACTGTTAGGCATTTCACATTCTGGTACCTAGAATTTCATTTATTCAGCAGTGGTGGCTTGAGCCAAAAAAATGCAGTCAATCAACCTTAAAGTTTCAAGTTGAACTGTACATATGTAGTTTCACAGGAGATTTTCCATGATAATGTATACAAAGTCACAAGATGACTGGAGTTCAGAGGTGGAACTTCATTCAGTGGAAGGACTAGAAGAACCAATTAGGAGCCTGGTGAATGGAGACCTAAGGACAAAAAGGAAAAGCCAGCAGAAAAGGCAAACTCAAGTCCTGGAGGGCTAGAATACCAAGGTCCTAGAGTGACTGGTTGGAATGAATTCTTGTAATTTTGAATAAGAGTTGTACTTTCTCATAACAAAAGTAGAACTTAGTCACTTTTGAACACAGTTTCCCGTTCTTCAACTCCTCCCAAATTTCAATAGGATCAATCCAGATATCTGCCTTAGACAACCACCTCCCAGTAAAACCACCTCCCTAAGGACAGATGGATACAATTCTCTTGACTCACCCCACTGATCCCCACACCTTGCATGGACTATTCAGACAGGTCACAGTGATTCACAAAACTTGTGCCTGCTTGCTGTAAGTCAACTAATTAGAACTCCCTGCAGGTAATCTGCTTGGGTAATGCCCTGGACCCCAGTGAAGACTTTGCACCACAGTCCTTCTTTCTCTCTTATTTGCTTCTCACCTTCTGCTTGAGCCGAGTGTCCCCATTCTCCCCTTCACATTGGCCCTGCAAAGTGTGCTGCCATCTTCTCTCTGAATCTGTTAAGTAATACACCATTTGTGTTATTTCATGTGTTTTGTTGTGTGGCCTTCTTTGCATCTCACCTGATGGGCACACCCGAGCACAACTCTCCTCCTGCTCAGGGCCCTCCTAGAGAGTGGCTATCTTTGTTGGAATAAACTGAACACAGGCCAGCCAAGAGCTTCAAGGGCACCTGCTAGTATAAACAGGTTTCCTATAAGAGAAACACCTGATCAGAAGTTAGACACTTAGGTATTAGGCCATCCACCAGGATAAAGGAGCATCCCATGAAAGGCATTCTGTAAACATCCACGACCACCTCCCCTGGAGCCATCAGGTCAGGGCTAGAATTATAGTCACTCTCCGGAGAGCGAGACCTCAAGACCAAATTAGAGGAAAATTTGACACCAGTTGTGCATTAGTCCATTCTCACATTGCTATAAAGAATTACCTGAAACAGGGTAATTTGTAAAGAAAAGAGGTTTAATTGGCTCACAGTTCTGCAGGCTGTGCAGGAAGCATGGTGCTGGCATCCGCTTGGCTTCCAGGGAGGCCTAAGGAAATTTACAATCATGGCAAAAAGTGAAGGGGGTCAGGCTTCTTAGCTGGCAGGAGCAGAAGCAGGAGAGAGAGAAGGGGAAGGTGCCACACACTTTTAAACGAACAGATCTCATGAGAACTCACTATCACAGGGACAGTACCAAGAGGGAGAATCCTAAAGTATTCATGAGAAATCCGCTCCCATGAGTTAATCACCTCTTGCCAGGCCCCACCTCCAACACTGGGGATTACAATTTGATGGAGATTTGGTGGAGACACAGATCCAAACTATATCATGTAGTGCTATGGAAGTTCACCTAGCACTGATCTAAGTTCTCTTGTTGTCTTCTTGCTTAAGTAGAAGGCCCCAGACCTTTAGTGTTAGCCTAAGTCTTAAGTGACACTATCTGAGAGCTATGGGACTTAAAGACTGAAAGAGCAGTTGGTATTATAGAGCAACACAAAAGAGACTGTCCAATCCACAGGCCTATTTTGCAGCCCACCATGTGGCAGAAACTGGTCTAGAATATGGGATCCTCTGTGGCCAACTCCTCAGACAAGCCTCATTGACTGTCTTTCTTCGAGTTGAATTCTTACAAATCGGAGGAGAAGTAAGTATCATAAATACTGTAGCCAAAAATAAACCAAAACAATCCGTGTATACAACATGTTCTGCCAATTAGACATTCCTGAATGAATCGATGCCAAAATATTGGGAACATAGAACAGCAAAAGACCCAAACATGAGAGATTGCCAGGACATCACAATGGCTCATATTCGTTTGTCTTCACTCACACAAACTCACTTTCCAGAAACCTTCAGTTCATTCTCTCATCACCTAGTCCTGCCAGTGGTGTTGAACCTCTATGGAAGAAGGGCAAAGTATAAAAGAAAACTTTTCCCACCTGTTACGAAGAAGGTCAGAATGGCAGACTCCACTGGAAAAACATCACTGACTCTCTTATTCTTCCACAACACCCAAAGAAGGTATTTTTTTTTTTTTTGTATTGGTATGAGCTGAGACTGCAGAAGCCTCCATAAAAATGTCCCTGATATACTCATGTGTGCAAAAAGACACAATATGAAGACAAGGGTGTTATCTGTAGTGTGTGAAAAACTCATATACTCCGTAGAAAGACTGCGCCAACACTGAGGCCAACCCCTAATGAGAACGAGAGAATGGGTTTATTACAGCCATACTCCCCTCAGTGCCTTAGCAAAGCCTCCACCTCTTGTTTAAACTCTGAACCAGAGCAAATCTTTTAGGCACTGAAACACTTTTCCAATCACTGTTTCAATAAAGTAAATGGCTCCTTAAAAGACACAAAGAGCTAGTGGAACTTTAGAGTGAAGAAGTCGTTCAGTTTTCCATTCAATGTGGTGGAGAGAGTACAGAAAGGGGGCTAGTTATATTAAAATCAGGTGAGCTCATAAGCATATGTGCAGTGAAGCTGGGTGGGCTTCCCTTGTTTATTAAGGGCTCAAAGTATTAATGGACTTACATACTGAATGCACAGATATGTTATAAATAGGTCAAAGAGAAGGTAAGTTGTGTTTAGCTTTTTTGTTTGTTTGTTTGTTTTCTTTTCCCTAAGTTCTCTCTAAGCCAGAAATTGGTTTCCTACCTTTTGAAAAATTATTGTGTACAAGCAGGCACTGAGACCTCTGCCCAAGAACAAGCCCAGCTGCCGGCAGTGGTTAGTGGGAATGCTTATTTGTTCTTGGAAATGAAACCATCCGGGTGGGGTGGGGGTCAACTTTTGAACAAAACACTAAAAAGAAACAAATCTGAGGAATCTGGTGAAATTGAAACTTTTCATCCAAAGAAGATAATAATGACTGAATGGAAAATAATTTCATCCTCTCATATTTTGATTTCAAGAAGCATTGGAAGTTCTTTTATGGTCTAGAATTGCTGCCATAGCAGTGGATAATTGTGCTTGATTGGCAGTAGTTTATTGGAGATATTTCTTCTTTTAACCTCAGTTTAACTGATGGCAGTAAAACAAATTAACTGGGGAAATTGCTTTAAAGGCAACCATTTTAAGTAAAAAGCCTGTCAACTAATTCTGGGTTCCTTTAGCTTCACATGCAAGAATAATCACATTAAAAAATAAGGACAGAAACTAATTGTAGGCATGGCCGGTTTCTAAACTGAGCTAAACTTGACTCAAGAGGATCCCTTCCAGGGGCTAACATGGTCTTACTAATGAACATACTTACTTTTTAGGGGAAATATCAGTGTGGAATTTGTCCATTCATAGGTCATGCCCAGAAGCGCCCTGTTGTTTCCCATTTAGCAAATATGGGTGAAAAAGACAAAACACTACAAATTAGAACAGAAAAAACAGCCTTTCCTACTTATTGCTCATATTGAATCAAATGTGTATTACTGTTCTAGTTTCATAGGCTCTTCTTCCCATAGCAATAACAAGTCTTGGTAACATATTTTTTTTACCAGAAATATTTATTTTTTTCTAAAGTTCTCTCAGGATTCCATGAAAATTTCTTTGAAATTATTTTTTTCCTTTTTGTTCATGTGAAAGCCTTAAGTGGAAGTGTACTGAAGATTTAATTCACGTTTATAAAATAAGTTAATGTTTTACAACACGAAACGATAGCAATAAAGGTATTTTGTGTTCTCTCCTTAGATTGTTTCTCAAATCACTTCTTCTATCCAAGTTTCTGCTGAATGATTCATCAATACAAAATCCGGGGCTTGCAAGGCAAATCTCAAATTAGGCCACTTTCTGTAACTACTTGTGAACCTTAGATAACCAGTAGACAAACTCCATCTTGTGACAAAACAACAACAAAAGTATTCTAAAGAAAAAGTGAACCTAGTTGACAAAGCAAAAGTTAACATTAGCTTATGTTTGTTGTTATAAAAATGTTACCTTGCATATTCTTTGACTTCTATTTAATGTTCCCCAACCTTCAGTCTGCTCTTTGCTCAAATCTGGACATCCAATTCGCCTTCTGGAGTAACAAAATAGCATTTATTCAAAAACCTATACCCATTTACATTTTACTGCATTGTACTTAAATCACATATTATTTCTATTTTTAAATTCATATTGGAATTTAGTTAACTTCAGCATCTAAAATTGTGAATTAGAAAACTATTCCTACTTGCACAAAATTCTAGAATCAAAAAAGTTATCTAAGAAAACTAAAACCAAGTTTTGTGTGTGTGTGTGTGTTATACATGGTAGGTGCCCGAGGTATTTTAGCTGTACATAAAAGCAAAGGCACTTTCATTGTTATATTTAAAATATATACTGGAGTATTTATCAACCATCTATCAATGAAAACTGGAACTACTGAAACAAAGACTCTTTTAAACTTGAGGAAGGGAATCTCTGTTTGACAAGACTGTTATAAATTTGATAAAATCGCTAAAAGAGAATAATTTAAGTAGGAAAATAACCTACCAATCTTTCCATGAAGAAGGTGGGAAAACTCTAGTGGTTTAATACTTTTATTTACAAAGTTAAAATAGCAAAAATGAAACCTTTATTCTGATTTGGAAGAATTAAAAAACTGTAAAAAAATCTTACTTAAAAATTTTTAAGAGTACATCAAAAATTAAATTATCTATAGCAAAACTCCTACCTTCAAGGGAGAATCAAAAACATTAATGCAAAAGTGTTTGATGATTTAGTGTCAAATGTTAGATCCAAAACCAGATCATTTCTCCTCATGTAATTATGAGTAAACATAGCAACCTATGGAGTATTCACCTAAGACAAGATTCCTTAATTTTCTTTACTCCAACTACATTCACTTGAGTTTTATTACATCTCTATGCAGTATTTTCAACTAATTATTCAATATTTAACTAAGGGCAATGTCATTATTCAACATTTATCAAATTTCATTAGTTCACTAGTCATCAGGTGAAGAAATTTAGTATTGGTTAAGAACATACTCTAATACAACTATTCATCCAAACCCTATTTAGATTTAAAGTTAGTGCAAAGATGCAACCTTGCTTCTAGCCAAGTAACAAAATAAATATCTTCAGAAACCCTCATACTTAAAATCATTAAAATTCTGTATAAAATACTTACTTGCTTTAGCGCATCACTGGACTGATAAAAAATGAAGGAATCTGAAGAACAATTTAATAAAAGGGGAAGCAACTGAATATTCTCATAGGAGACTTCAGGTAAATCTGGACCCCAGCAGTATAAGAGCAGATGAGAAATAAACCCAGCACACAGCAATGAACAGCAGGAAATCTTAGTTGACTTGATCTTGGCAGTAAGTGGTAAGATAATAAAATCGTCCTTGAGACTTTATAACCACAAGCTAGCCCTTACATGACCAACGTTTCAGTCTGAATCCACTCTATCTTGGCAGTCTGAAAAATTTGAATCCAGGAACTTAATTTAAAGTGGTAACTGAAGCAAAGCCCTCTTAGAGAAACTCAGCTTCAGCCCAGGCCTCAAATAATCTACAGGTAAATTTCCCGGGGTGTGTGTGTGTGTGTGTGTGTTTGTGTGTGTGTGTGTGTTGTTTGTGTGTAGGCAAGGGAGGGCTTTATGTAAAAAATCACAGCTAAAACAAACCTGCAACTAATGCAGATATTAGAATTAGCAAATGCAGACTATAAAATAACTACCTTTCATTTATTGAAAAAATTAAAAGAAGCCTATAAAAAATATAAATAGAATAAGATACTGTAAATTATAACCAAGCAATTTTGAGTAAAAACCAATTAAATCTTGGAAGATAAAAGTTTAAATGTTTTGTCAGATTTTTTAGAATTCGAATATATTTTTCTTTTTGATTTATTCAACAATTCTGGATATAAATACTTTTTTGGAAGTGCACTATAAGTTATTTCTCCTGGTTTATGCTTTACCTTTTTATTCTCTTGATGACATCTTTTAATAGGCAAATGTCTTAATTTTAATAAAATTCATTTATATTAATAAATAATTCTATTTTTTGAGTAAATGTTTATTGTGTCCTGTTTAAGGAGTGTTTGCCTATCCCAAAGTTATGAAGATATTTTCTTAGGTTTTCTTCCAGAAACTTGATGTTTAATTTTTGCTTACAGTTCTGTAAATCAAATTAATTTTTGTGTATGGTGTGAGGTAAGGCTTACTATTATTGGTTTGTTTGCTTTCAAATGGATAGTCAAATTACAAGAAAGAATTTATAGAAAATATCAACCTTTCCCCAGTGAATTGCAGTAGTACTTATGTCATAAATCAGGAAACACAGACACACACACACAAACACACATATAGATATGAGTTTGTTTCTGGTCACTCTCTTTGAATTTGAGTATTCTTATGCCAATACTACACTGACTTACCTACTCTAATTGTAAAATTAGTCCTGAGATCTGGTAAAGTACTTTCAATTTTGTTAGCTCAGTTCAAGACTAAACAAACATTGTCTATTTCTCTACATTTAATATGACTAATGGAAAAAAATATTTAATATTCCTATGATGTAGCTACTCTAAGTTCCCATAAGTTTGCAACAGAAGTATGCCACTGCAGATAGCTACAAGAGTGGCATCTGTTAGTCACTCATGTACCTGCAGGTATATGACTATGGCAGAAAAAATATCACAGCTTGACCACAGTCCTGAACAAAAGAATCAATTCTTTCAATGGCGAGTGGCTATTCTGTGCTAATAGTTTGTAATACAAAGATGACCCTAGCACAGACCTTGTTATGTACTACAGATATTTTTAGGATGTTTATGATTATGCAATAAGGGAAACTAGAAGGTAAATGCAAGAATAGAGATATCATTCAAGTGTTGTTCAGGCTCAAAGGAAAGTATGCTTGTAAATGGGGAAGTCAAAGACCCCCAGAAGAGGTAAAATCAAAGCCATGACAGATTCGTGCTGTCCCGCGCATGCCCAGGCAATGTAAATCGTATGAGACTCAGCAGAGATGTTGGGAAGTATGGAAGAGGATATAAGTGATACCAGGTATCAGTTTATCCTTAGAAAAAAATGTGAAGCATAGCAGCAATAAGCTGTAAATATAAATTCTGACCTCAGCATGAGGGTAGTTAAATGAAAATAAAGGCTGTTTGCATTTATTCTATAAGGAGAAAGAAGCAAAGAAAAGTATTTGAACCACAGAGTGACATGTCAGGCTTGGCCTCGGGGATATGGATTCCTCATTAAACCACTCAACGTCCCAGAGATAATAGAGGTCAACTAGGATAGTACAGAACTGAAGAAGAATTTCAAGAAAAATCAAATGAAAACTGCCTTAAATTCAACAGAAACAATGAAGAAAGACAATAAAAGTTCTACTTATTTTCAGTGAAATCACACGATTCTTTCAAGGCACAGTTGCATTTGAGGAAGAGTCGACATCACTCAGGTGTTGGCTCAAATTTTACCTCTTCAGCGAGGCCCTTCTTGACCAGCTCAGGTACCCATGGGCCCGTCATCTTCTCTGTCCTCCCGTTTCATTTTTCCTCCTAGCAATGATCTCCACTGGACATTTTATTATACACTTATTGATTTCTATATTTCTGCCACCTACCATAACATAAGTTTCTGGCAGGTATACACATGCCTGATTTTTATTTTAAACAGTACCTAATGTGAAACATGCTAAAAAATGTTTGTAGAATGAATGAATTGCAAGAGGCCAGGGATTAAGCAGGCAATTGGGATAACCTGAAGAATGAGAGAAAATATTTTTGAACTACCCATTCAACAAGGGATCAATAACTGGAATATATAAGGAGCTCAAACAACTCTATAGGAAAAATCTAATAATCGGATCAAAAAATGAAGTCAATGACTATGTGAGGCACATTCATGAGTCTGAGTGGTCAGGGACCAAACAGTGGATAAGACAGTGGCTGTTTTGTGTATGCTCTTCTGGGCTTGGAAGAAGAGTAAAACTACCAAAGAAAAGATGATTGACAGAGCAAGATCCTAATGAAGGTGACCTCTCTGCCTCTTTACAGTCTATTTTAAGCACGGCGAAAATACTGATCCTTCTGAAATGTGTCAAATCATGGCACTTTTCTGCTTAAAACTCTCAATGACTTTCTGTTTCACTCAGAATGAAAGTCAAAGTCCTTACAATAATCTAGTCCACACAGTATTTTGTGACCTCCCTGTCCTCATTTTCTTCTTTTTTTTTTAATTGACACATAAGTGTACGTTTTATGGGGCACAGAGTGAGGTTTTTTGATACATGTAATATACTGTGATCAGATCAGGGTAATGATCTCAAAAGTCAGTTTTTGTGTTGGTAATATTCAATATCTTCCTTGTAGTTATTTGAAACTCTATGTTATTGTTAACCATGGTAATCCTATGGTGGTATAGAACATAAAACTTATTCCTATTACCTAGCCATAATTCTACATCCTTTTAGAAATCTCTGGCCCCTTTTCTTTTTTCTCCTTTTTTAATTTTTTTATTTTTTACTTTTTTGTTTGTTTTTGTTTTTGAGACGGAGTTTGACTCTGTCGCACGGGCTGGCGTGCAATGGCGCGATCTCGGCTCACTGCAACCTCTGCCTCCAGAGTTCAAGCGATTCTCCTGCCTTAGTCTCCCAAGTAGCCAAGATCACAGGCACCTGCCACCACGTCTGGCTAATTTCTTGTATTTTTAGTAGAGACAGGTTTCACCATGTTGACCAGGGTGGTCTCAAACTCTCGACCTCAGGTGATCCACCCAACTTGGCCTCCCAAAGTGCTGGAATTACAGGCGTGAGCCACTGCACCTGGCCCCCCTTTTTAATACTATTTTATTCTCCCCCTCTGCTGCATACCTGCGGACCAGATAGGCAAGGTCCTGCCACAAGGCCTTTGCCCTCCACCTTCCGCTGCCTGGAAACTTCTTCCCAGCCTCCACATGGTAGATGGCCAGGTGTAATTGCCACATGGCTATCTATCTCCAGCAAATCTTTCATATCTTTGCTGAAGTGTTACTTTCCTTAGGGCTTTCCTTAGGTAAAATTAAGCATCCTCCTTCCCTGTTCTTCCTCTGCTTCATCCTGCCTTATTTTTTCTCCATAGTGTTGATTACCCTCTGACATATTCCATGTCTTACTTTGTGTCTCTTGTCAACCTCTCCCTGTCTAGAATAGATGTTTGGCTAACACTATTACAAATAGTTACAAATCATGCTATAATGATTCCCATTGCACACATACCATTTCATATTTTGCCAGTGTATCTCTGGAATGGATGTGTAGAAGAGGAATTGCTGAGTTAAAGCATAAATGCATACACAATTTTTCAGGATACTGATGGGTTCTAGAGCCGTAGAATCTTCACATACCTTTTCACTTTTAGAATAAAGTATAGTTATACCATTTTCATATGCATATTGTCAGTAAAAAATCATTTTTGAAATAATTAACTACATTGTTCAATGTGTTATGTAGAAAGTCACAGAATGAATTTCTGTCCGCCCTTAAGTTTCGTAAAGTCCATGTGTTCCTTCATAAGCTGGCATGTTCCCTTCAATTATTAGGCTATCAATGAAGGAAACATGCCAGGACTTCACTTGTCCTTCATCAAAGGAGAAAGTTGGGGTCACACATATTCAACTGAGGATGTGTGCCACCTCTCTATTTTGCTAAGACAGGATCAGGTGGGACCAATCACTCCTGCAAAAGGTAAGCACGGCCCAGGAGAGAGTCAGTGCTCCGTGGGACCACAGTGCCAAGGTTGCTGTCTCAGAAGGACCTAGGGCAGAGTCAAATGACAGCAGGAATAGGTGTTACTCATAAGAGCACAGTAATGCTGTATCTGGGAAAGCCAGTGTCTGCCTCGTCAGGGGGCATTGCCTCTCATAAGAGCGTAGGCTAATTAGTGATCACCAGTGGGTAAGACTGAATGCGGTCATCACCCCCCGCCCCATTTCTTCACCTTCAGAGATGTCCAAGAATAGAAGGATGAGATTTTGCTAGCATCAGTCAGGCCTCTGCGGGGCTAGAAATTGCAGCACACACACCTCACACACCTGCACATGCATGCATGCACATACACACGCACCGATCAGTGAATGGAACCCCACCTCCTCTGGAGATGACAGAACTTCGCAAAATTGTGAGTGGAAAACCAGAGGCTTCAAATAGGAGGAAGTGAAGTGAGCAAGGACAAGTAGCAAGAGAAAGAGAAGCTGAGAGAGAGCTGCAGGGTTGGGGGGAGATGCTCTTTGAAAAGGCTTCAGTTTGTGAGGCTCTCTCAATGGTAAGGAAAAATTTAAATGAAGTCCTAGATTCTGGTCTTTCTCAGCTGGCCTGTGAGATCAACCATCTCATTAGAGATGAAGGAGTTACCCCTCTACAAGAAAGAGCCACCCTGGGAGTCTCCAGCCTTGGGCAGATTGGTGGCCTGAGATGGTGCCTCTCCCTTAGAAAGGCTTAGACGCCCTCTCTAGGAAGGAACAAAAAAATATTCATGGTCAACTGCTGCAGTTTTCCTGAGTCAGGACTTCTTGATGTTCTTTTCTTCTCCCTCCATGGAAATATCTTTTATAATGATACCTCAAAATATTTTGGGGGATTTAGTGGCAAAAGAAGGAAAGAAGGAGGGAAGAAAATAGGAAAGGGAAGGAAGAAAGAAAAATAGAAAAGTTGGTGTTCAGTGATGCATTAAAG